AGCTGAAACAACCCTAAGGCCTTTCAAGTCAGATATATTGTATTTCAAGCAGCATACCATGTGATAGATCTCAATGAGGCTTCAACAGCCAAGATCCACCTCTGTAGAATCCCAGGGGGAGGAGAAATCCTGGCATTTCTGGAGTACAGATACAGACCTTGCTATACCTGGTCCAAACTTTCTTTCTCCAGTCACACACACTGACTACTCCTCTCTATCCTGATAAGTACACAATCTGTCTATAAAGTACCCTGAAATCCACCAGAATGGAAACAACACTTTAGCAAAAGCCTGATGATCCAGAATGCTCAGATATCAGCAGTGCAGCCCATGGCATCCAACTCTGTTTCTCTTTAGCAGAGAGAGATCCAAGTTGCAGAAATTAAAGCTCCCAGCAGGCCACGCTTCAGCAAGATCAAGAGTGCTTCAGCAAAACTGCTCCAACAGGATGGGAACTGCAGAAATACCTGCAGCATCCTCCCAGCAATCTAAGTCCCTGCCCACAGATTAGAGACAAACTTCCAGCAGAGGTCTAATGCTTTGCTTTGCATGCCAGAAGGGAACTGGGCTTTCACAGAGATCACTTGGAAATGTAAACACAATAAATTGACCATATTCCTTTTTATTATAGTCAAGGGCAAAGCAAAATACAGACGACTCAAGGTTATGTTAAAAGTCTCCCTTCACTGGAATTCAGTCAATCAGTATTTAGGCAAGGGCTTGTTTGCACACAGCAGAGTGACTCACAGTAAATGTGTGTGAATTTCCCCTGCACTTTCATTACAAACCCTGAATGTTCATACACAGAGAAACTCACCAGTTTATTGCATTGTAATTTCCTTACATAGACAAGCCCTAAAGCCTTGACAGAAGTAGGTTTACCTTTTTCTGTCTGTTATGAATAGCAGATTTGTGAGAAGCTGGACACAGAACAGGGAGGAAGAGTGCAGGATTATGAATGGCTGCTAGCTCAATGTGTACAGCTCCTATTGACAAGGGAAAACACATGTCTGAGTACACGGCTCCTGATAGCTTGGTTTGGCCAGGAGCTAGTGCACAAAAATTTCACCTTGGTCCTTCTGTGGAAGACAGGCACCTAGAGACAGTAAGGAAACCCCTGAAAAGAAGGAATACATGCTCTTCACTAACAGACAATTTTCTGCACACAATTGCAGGAAGCAGGTTCTGTTTGAAATCTCAAATCACATTAATCTATGGTCACTGGAGGCCTCATTTTCCAAGTGGCAGCTGGCTGGAGATTCCCCGGCACAACCACCAATTACGTAACAAAGTAACCAACTAAAATTTGCCTTCAATTCGCATTTGCCTATTGGTGTGAACAGAACGCAAGGGCAGCAGAATGGGTCACAAACACTCTGAAAAGCTTGCATGTGAGTGCATATTTGCACGGGGGAGGGAAGCAATTCACTAATAGGACTCAGACTTCTTAAAACAAAATCATTTGTTTCCCCCTTCCATCTGGACCCAAACTAAGAAATTACGCAGATTTCCACTGCCCACTCTCTTTTTCCTTCCACACCCCCTTCTCACTGGCACGCGATAAAACCTTGGGGAAACAGCAGCAGCAATTTTCAATTCTCATTATCTAACGGCAGCAGTAGTTCTTGGTGAAACTTGCGGTCAATAAACTACAGGCAATTTTGAAAGACACAATGGGAACTGCCCCTCCTACAGCTGTCCCATTATCCCAGCTTTTATTAGATTTAAAGCCAGAGATTTTTATGCTGTAGCTCAAGTTCTGCAGAGCCATGGAAACAGACCACCAGAAAAGATAAAACACTCCTAAATTAAACAGGAGCTGTCACAGTAACATCCTCTGAAGTCAGAAAACTTCCACATAAGCGAAGCATGGGATGCAGCAAGGAACCCAGAGCCTAAAGGGGCTGATGAGTCAACGCTTGGCGCAGTGATGCTGCACTGAGTCAACGGTGACCAAAACTCAACAGTCAGGATGGTATCAGTGGAAAAGCTCATGAGTAGGTTAGGCAGACAAGTTGAAAGCATACTGGCTACAAAGGCAGACAACCAGAGAAGGATCCTGCTCCCATAACCAGGAGCATCCCAGAACAGGCACCAGCTTTGTAGCTTATGCTCTGGATGTACCTCCCAAGAAATACTCATCTCTGGCTGGCAATTCAGCTGGCCTGTTTCAGATGACTTTTTAGAATCAGATGCATCACACTCTACATATGCCTATTTCTCTCTGTTGGCCACAAGAGACAGAACTACTACATGGCTCAATGAGAAAATACACAAAACAGGTAACAATAGCTATATCTCTACCATGCACCACAATAAAGCAACCTCTTCTAGGAAGAGAAGCTGCACAGAAAACCAATAGAAAATCAATTTTAAAACACGTCAAATGATTACCTAACACATTTGCTCATAGGGCAGAAATAACTGAGGGTGTATCTGAGCTCCTGGCACAGAAATGTGCAGAACAACAGCCAAAGGGAAATGGGTGTCCAAATAAATGGTCTCAAACAAACACAGTAAGGGGGAAGAGGCAAAGAATTATTCTCATCCATGGTAAGCTGTAATTTTTGGTCTAGAAATCTAGAGCTGGCTTTCTCTGAGACTAATGTATACCATGCCCTGCAGACATTTTTACCAGCCATCAAAAGGAACTTGCAGAGAAGCAGATGCTTCATTAAAGAATATTCAGCAAGCCTTATAAAATCCTTAGTAAAAAGCAAATGAACAAATCACCACCATGCAAGTGAGATGAAGTCACACATCCAACTTTGATTACATTTCCTCCTGCACTGGCAAACAAATTGTATTTTTTTTTAAAAAAAGGTTAAAAATACTGAAGAAATTAAGAGATTCTGGCCTTTCTTTCCCACATTCCTCCAACCTGAATTCCCTGAAAGAGGAACGCGTGAGACAATGCCATTTGGTATAAGATGCTAATTTAAACTTAAAGAAAAATAACAGCTTAAAAAGGGGAAGGGAGGAGGGAGTTTTAATCCTACATGATAAAACAACAGCTTGTGATTGCTACATGTATCTCAGGAGTCAGAAGAGTCAGTAAGAGCAGTGAGGCAAATTGTCAGGGAATTGAGCTGTCCTGGGAAAAAAGGAAACTAAAGAAGACATACTGCCTCAAAAAAAGTTGCATTTGAATTTGTACTTGCAGAACCCTCTAGTGCCTACCTCTAGCTGCAAGGTGTTAGTTACCTATTCCTTAGTCTCTCAAGCCCCTTCTTAAAACATAGCAAGATTTTCTGCCACATTGTCATCATCCGCAACAAATTCATGTCCTCTGCACTACTCCTTCCAGGTAGTTTCTGATAATAATGGGGAAAAAAATTTCTGAAGTTCATTGAAGACTCTGGGAATGAAGACAACCAGTTTTTGGTTTATAAAGAATACCTACCAAAACTGCCACCAAATCCAAGAAAGACCCAAGTTATTAGGATCTTTCACTGCCCTCTGCTGTTACCAGTCATTTAGCTTCCAATTTACTCTAATAATGCTGGGCAGGGGCTCAGGGCTGGCAGCATCCCAGCCCCTTTCTCAGGCGGGTTGGAGCCGCAGCTTGCAAATATGCTGAAGTTTAATGCAATCTGTCTTCTTTGGTAATCACATTCCGCCTGCACTGCATGCAATAAAGATGTATTGGTAAATGCATTTGCTAAAGATATACTCCACTGAAAAGGCTACAAGCCTGATTTAGGGGAGGCAAGGAGGATAACAGAGGCTGGCAATAGATGCACCAGTGCACTGCACACAGCAACCAGGGGCAGGGATTGTGCAGCAGCAGCACAGGCACCACTTTACTTTAAAGCTGAGGAAGAAAAAGAAACCACATGTTTTGGGAGCTGGAGACTTTAGAGATATCAGAGAAAAGCCCTTTCCCTGGCAGCTTTAACCTTGCTGATTTGCAGACATACAAAGACCTTCTTTGTAAACAGGAAGGAAAAAAATTCCACCAGGACTAGCAACAACATTTGGTCTAATATATCCTGACAATTTTCCCATCTCCTTCTGTCGGGCTTCTTCTGGGAGCCGGCTGGCAGCTTGTTTCATGTTATACTTAAATCAGGCATACAGCTTCCCCTCACAATGCTAATGCAGAGAAAGACTGCTTCCATGAAATATCCACCTCTCCCCCACCTATTGCTTTAGTAATCCCATGAGAGAAGTCCCAATTTTCTATTACCATCCTCTTCCCCACATCCACTTTACTATATTCTCAGCACCTTTTAGAGAATTTTCTACTGTCAAAAAAACCCCAAAAAACAAAACTGAAAAGTCTGCCCTTGAGGGACACCTGACCCACTGAATTCTCTCATGGCCCAGGACCATACCCTGGTTTTAATGTCCAAATACTTCATTTTCTTTTCCCCTTCACTTGTTTCAATAGCCAGAAATTCTTCCAAGGTACTGAGCAGCCACTGTCCTAAGGCATCAACAGAAACTACTGGGACTCTGCATCTCAAAAGGAAGAGCCATAAGGCTTCCTGGCTTCCCAACACAAGATGGGGTTTTTAGGAGTATGGAATTTTGTTAACAGACAGCAGCTTTGCCTAGTACAGAACCTTTCCCCATGCAGCAATGAAAAGAAGCAAGACCTCCAACTGCAAAGTCCCATAACAGGAGATGTTTAGAGCCTGTTGAAAATGTTGCGGACATTGCCAAGGTGGATTTACTTACTGTTTGCAGTATACCAACATCCAAGAAGGTAAAACTAGGGAAAATCATTGACTTTGAAACCTGGGAGCATTGGTTCTACTGTTGTGGTGGCAGCTTGGTACAACAGGACTCACTGACAGGAACGAAGTTGGGACACACTGTGTGACTGGGAAATGTGGAATGAATGTGGGAAAATGGATCCCAAGGAAGACTTGTCTCCTATGAAGATTGCAATTTGACTAACAGATACCACAGCTCTCAAAAACACTTCTCAGAAGAAACCACCATGCAAAACAAGACAGCAAACCCAGCCAGTACAACAGAGGAGCTTTTGTTACCTTATGAGCTGCACTAACACAGCGCTGATATTCCTTTGCCAGCTCCGAGCATTTGAGCACTTCACGTTTGTTTTCTTGGTAGCACTTCATGATTTCAGACTGCAGATTTGCACAGATAGGATCAGCATTCCTCCTCCTGCAGGGAAAACAAGCACAGAATGATGTGTGAAGAGGAGTTTTCAACCACTTACTACCACTTTGCCAGCAATACACATACTAATTTTATGCTGGAGTCATGTAGTCCTAATAGAGAAACTGGTGGGAGCACCAATCACCAAAGTGGGTCAAATGACCAGCAGGGTATTTCAATTGAAAAATCCAGGGTACTTAGTAAAAAAAGGAACATGATCTTTCTTAGCTGGTGTAGAAGGCTGTTTCACCCTTATATAAAACACCATCTCTCCTCTGCAGTCAGGAGGAAAAAAATCCCCAAGTCCAAGAGTTTCAATGATTTTCTCAACTCATACTGGAAATCTTTGGTAGAACTCAAGAATCGTGGCTGGGCCTGCACTAGATCTGTAACAGCCTGACAAGGAACTGAGCAGACTTGTTGAATGAGCCACCTCAATCTATTGAATTCTCATCTATTGAAACACTACAAGAAACCCAGCATGGTTGGAAGCACTGCAATTCTCCTAGTGACTGGGAAAGAACCCAGAATAATAGCAAGACCAGATATCTGCTTCTTTGTATTCCTGCAGAAATTAGTATTCATACTCAGTAAATGGCATTGACAGCTACCCAGGAACAATTAAGGATGATGTTCTTTTACTCTAATGTGCATGTGTACATATGGCATATCATCAGCAACAGTACCAATAAAGGGGAAGGTCGTTGTAAAACAATCCCAGCAACAATGGCACAAACACAGTAATGACAGTGACATCAGCTGCACAGACAGGCAGACACAAATTGCAGGCATTCACAGCACCATGGCCATGGTATGTTTTACCAGAGAATAACAGAACATATGCTTAGGTGTAGCAATCCTCAGATGTCGTCTCCTAAACCATAAATCCATTTAATTCCTTGCATTTCCTGCTCCAATATGCTTAGAGATCTGTGCCCAAATATCAAACACACCTCTTCCTTCCAAAGCACTTGATGCTACAGGCAGATATTAATGCCATGCTATGATGTATTCATTTCCACAGTAACAACAGGCACTCATTCAGCAAAAGGGCTTCATAGCAAGGCAGAGAGAGGGAAAACATGACCTGTCCCTGGGCACGTCACAGTCTCTCAGGTGGAAGAGACTTCTAAGGAACAGGAAATCTTAAACCAAGATCATCTAAATGCTTTTGGAGAGCTCAGATATGAGTTTCCAAATTATGCACATCTGTAAAGTGCTCAGCAAAGAAGTGGAAGCACCAAAAGAAGAACAGTTTTGTCTTTTCCCTATCAGCAACCTAGGTGCACTCTGCCAATAATTTGGTTGAGCTATACTCTAATTAATACTTCTTCAGTCCTCAGTCATACTGCCAACATACATGGACAGAGTAGGAATTTATCAGTATGACAGCCACACTAGAAGACTGAGATTTGGATCAGAAACCAGCAAGGATACTATACAGACTTCTTTTTCTACCTCTTCACTAATCTTACAGCTTTTACAAGAAACTTATTCCATGTACAGTCCCCAAGGGTTAGTGTTCATTTTTAATTTCTATGTTATACAGCAAATCACCTTTAAAGCCTCGAAAATCCATATTCTAAAAAAAAAAAAAATCTTCAAATTTTGGGATAGAAAAGAACCCAGAGAGAGCTTCAGAAACTCATAATGTTGGCATTTTGCTTTGTCACTAACTTTAATATCACTCTAATCAAATCAGTGAGACTGTGGAAATTATACCAAACAATACCAGGTCAGGAAATACCACCAAATCCCTCAATTCATTGAAAAAGTTAAGACTTTTAAAATTAGTTTTTTTTAAACTCAGTGATGTTAAACCGAAGGGCATTTTGTAATTTTCGTATAGAAACCCAGAAGAGCTAAAAGGTACAGCACACCACAAACCAGTTTGTATTCATCTGAACTGAGCATGGTACAAACATCTTAAAAATATTTAGAGGTTGTCATTGTCAGCAGGGAGAGCTACAGAAATTGTTTTGCTTTAGATCACTGTCCTTCCTATGGTATCAGTCTTCACTACCTAAAATAATTATGAAGTCAGTAATAACTAACTATTAGTTATTAGCCACCTGTGGGCTCAGACAGTGCTGCAAAGTCTGTGGCCCTCTTCCTTAACAGATCCCTTGGTCCTCAGCCCACAGGGCTATTTAAAAGCCACACAGTGGTGAGCAAGAAGCCACAAAAAAAGAGTATTGTTGCCTAAAGCCTAGCAGAGGCAGGGGATCAATCAGCACAGACCAGCATGCATTGCCCAGCAAGTATTTAAACCAGCATTCCTACACACCACTTCCCACAACACAGGGAGGATTTATTTGGTACCGTGTACCCAAAATCATAACAAGATTATTCTCCTTTATTTCTTCAAAACAAAACCTCAAGCAGTGGTTACGCATCAATTGCGCCAGCTTCTCAAAACAGATTTAGAGACGCTAATCAACAAATAGCAAAGTTGGTTTAGGTAATTATCAATACAAGTTACTGTGGAATCTGAGAGTACACAAGTTATCCACATCCAGCAGATTAGTTCTGGTACCCATCTGGACTGGAAGGAGGTACCTGAAGTGCTCTGGTGAACAGCTGCCTGAGATGCTTTCCTCCCTGCACAGCAATCCCAATGCCTGCCTGAATCAAGGGGGTGCCACTCTCCTGCTCACATTAACACTCAGCTTCAGGTTGCAGCATTTGCACACTGGGGAAACTGCAGCCCTGTACACATACAACAGCTGCACCTTACAGGTGTCTGACTTTCCTCGTGCATATCTGAGACAAAAAGGAATTAAACCAGCAGCATCCAACGACAAACACATCCTGTGGTATGCAATGACATTGTGGGTTGAGTTCCAAAGGAGGTGGATTTTCATCAACCATCTCCCTTCACCCTCAGCCTGGCTCAAGGCTGTTGGCACTAACTGATCTTTAGGAAAATTCATCTTCTGGACACCCGATCACACTGCTCCTGATGCGTCATTGAGGGTTTTACTATTATTTCTCACATGAGAGAAAAGGAAAACGGTGGAAAAGGGATGAGGTTTGTATATACAACTAGCAGAAGCCTTGTATGCTTTGACCTTTCTCCTAAAGTGGGTCAAAGTTTCAAGCATATGCCTCCACCAAATGAGGTAGACATTTGGCCTCTGTCTGAAATAAAATATGCTGCAACTGCTACAACTATTATCAAAACAGATGTAAGAGCCTCATTTACAGCAGCTAGGAAAAAGGCAGGAGAGAAAGGCTGGGCTGGGAAGTGATAGCACAACATCTGCAGATGGAAATATGGAACAAGCTCTTACAATACTTTGGAAATAAATACATGCAGGACATACAGAACATGAAAGATTAAATCAATAAAACACACTCTCATCTGCTTAAAGGAGAAGGAAAGGAGAAAAGATGACAGGTTGGAAAAAGTAAAAGATGGGTTTAGAAAAAAAATTCATTAGTAGTGCCGCCGCTATCACAGAGAGGAAAGAAACCTTTGCCTTGTCAGTGTGCAATGGACAGGAGGGCTACATACACATGAAATCCATGATTTCAGAACTTCCTCTCCCCCTCCTGTGGAGAGATTTAAATCAGGTCTTTGTCTAGAAAAGAAGGGAGAGGTTTTCTTAAAATGAAACAAAGGGCATCCTTCTCTCTACTATCCCTTGAGGTAAGACAGAATGAGCACAATCTTGCTGCATTTTGACACCGAGAGTTACCAAATCCTTTCTATCACTGCATATTCCCCTTACTTTATTTAATAAATGAAATCTCATCAACTTATCCTTCTTCTATTATCACTGCTGACATCAATCTGATAATATTGGCTTGGCGTGGAATCGTGCTATTATATGTCCTCTTGATATTTAATTTAAGAGAAACGTCTGCAGTGGGGTGAATATGTGAAGCAAGCTTTTTATTACTGGCAGCAGTAAGGACGCTGGGAGTGAATTAGACATTCGTCTTAGTCAGGGCCAATCTAGTGGCTCAGAAGAGGTTTTCTTCTTAACCCTCTCCTAACTGTTCAACAGAGGCAGGTAACAGCTGCTTCAGTCAATAACTGCATTCATTTGTCTTGGCAAATTCATTCCTACACGGATATAAACCCTACGAAGAAGTACAAAGTGTCTGGGAGGTTAAAGCAAGGTACTTTGAGAATTTCTATCATAAGCACTGCACTAGAAGGAAAAGTGCCAGTCTCAATGTCCATCAATTAATCAAGAAGCAACAGTTTCCAAAGACAAATACCCAAACTCACTGCAGAAAGCAATTAAGGCCATATCATCAGGATACAGACCCAGAGACAGAAGGTTTCAAACACAACACTATGGCTACTACGCAGGTGCTGCTGACAGGTTCCCTTCTTGAAAGGATTATAGACTCAGTATTGGAAAGCAAGGGAAAGCTGGAAAAGGTCTATGTATTTGTACTTGGTCCTTCCACGCAGCTGAAGATCAGAGTACCCAAGCAGAGATGCACGTTCAGTGCTTTAGGAATTGGCAGCTCTTTAGCCTAGTGCAAAATCAGTAACTCCACAGTGAGTAACACACCATCACTTGGCTTTACTGGGAAGAACAGCAATTCCAGATGGAGTTAAGAGCAAGATCTTCTTTTTACATTTTACTCTGGGAAACCATTCAAGCTGAACAAAAAGTCTCAAGACAGAGGCTGATGGTTTCTAAACTCAGACACTTTGATACCTCTGCTCAGAAACTGATAAACAAGGACACAGAGGGTCCCCCATATAAGCCAACTTAAAAGTAGCTGGCTCCAGCACACAGCTGCAAGCAGCAACCAAAATGGGCCAGGAATCTGGAATTTCTTGTGGGCCACAAAATCCAGTAACTGGATTAGCTGCTTTCTGCTGCATTATTTGACTACGACCAGTGTCTGAACCAACTTGAGCAAACCACATTAGTCACCACAGTCACTGGAGCAGAAACAGCCCCAGACACCAGCAATAGGGTGCATGGGCAGCACTGCCAGTAAATCCTAGGGCACACAGCAGCAGTTTCTGCATGTTG